TGGTTTGGGGTGTGTCCTTTTTTGACACCCAGGTCATCCAACTTGTGTAATGTGCATTGGCTGCATCAAACCAAGATTCCTGACAAGAGTTGTGCTCAATCTTGTTTTTTGTTTTGAGCAATGTACGCGTACAAAGCGTTTGTACGCGTACTTTCCTGAAACCAACATGCAGTCAGCATCTCAAGGATCATCATGCAATAAGACATGACACAAATATATCAAAGTATGACACGACTATAGTCCCATCAGGTTATTTTGATAAAAGCATTGTAGGACTATAGTCCCATCAGGTTATTTTTTGATTAAAAAACTGATACAACAAAACTGACCGAGATTGACAGGACTAAAGCCTTTACATGGGCATTTACACAGACTAAATTCATACCGGTTTTTATGAGTTTGGTAGTTGGAACATTACAGGGATGACATTGACATTAGCAAAACGCCTAGATTTACATTGTATACGGTGGAAGTGAAGGCATCAAATGTTTTTCAATAAGAAGTATAACTCAATATATGGAAAGTGCTTAAGAAAACTATTGGAAGCAAACAACGAAATATTTGTTGTTACAAAACTCCTTCATTCATTCATTCATTCATTCAATTTCATTTTCATTTTCATTTTCATTTTCATTTCGTTTCGTTTCGTTTCATTTCATTTCATTTCACTCATTCATTCATTCATTCATTCATTAGGTCAATTATGACCAGATTGTTAATGAACTATGGTAAACCGATCTTACTAAAGATGACAAAAAGAGAATAGGAAACATCACCACACCGCACAGAAGTTACGGTTTCACACTTTGAGGGAGGCTTGCCATTACCAGAGGGAGTTCGGAGGAAGGGAAATGAATTTTTGAATGGGCCTAGAGATATAAAAGAGCTGTTTCTTCAATATCATAACTTTTCAATGAATGAAGCGTAGTCATTTTTTCAGAAAATGAGATTAAGGTCTATTCAGTGGAGAGTGATGCCTTCAGGATCCATGCAGACGATTTGACTAGAGTGATGGGTGAACCAAACCATTTTAGAAAATCATATCAGACTGGAATATTGAACTTTGAAGAAGGCATAGGCAAGTGGAGACTGACAAACAAATCAACCAATTTGCAACCAATAGGTCAATTTTTGCTACAATGACTTAATTGAAATTCCAAAACTAGAAAATGAACCAACAGAGGTGGTGGATGAATGGGACAACCCCGGAATATGTAAGCAAGTTGAAAAACAAAACCCCTGCGTGATCAGATCAAAATTTTCTGGATCGAGTTACACAGGTCAGTATCTTTAAAAGGTGCATAAACAAATTTTGTTTGTAGAGCCTTATAACTGGTTAAGTCAAAAAATAGAAGGTGACGCAACAACCCATAACATGTTTAAGAAATCCAGTTCATAAGCAGGATGAACTACCAGAGTTTGATCATAGCAATTTTGATTTCATCTTCTTTGATGAAACCTATATGAACAATCTTGTAATTTTAGAACTTTACTGAAAAACACAAGGACAATAAAATCATGATAGGCGCCTGTGATACAAAACAGTTAGAACGCATCAATGATTTAACTAACACCCAGTCAAAGACCACAATATGGTCAAAATCGTGCTCAGTTTGTTCTCTGAAATCAGTGAAATTGTCCAAAAGGTTCATTTGATATCTGAAAATATCACTCAAACAGGCATGCAACAGGCAAAAATGGTAGATCTTTGGGGGGGTAGCTACATATATATATATATATAAGAGACATCCAAGGTTGGACGCTATATAGGCGTCTCCTGCCACATCCTGTTGTTGGGCCTCTTTTGAGTTGAAAACCTTCGAAAGTGGCGAAGACCACGAAAACGACGACTGCGCGAAAACCACGAAAACGGCGAAAACGACAAAAACGTGCAAACGGCGAAAGCCGCGAAAACGCGAAAACGGCGAAAACGACGAAAACGACGAAAACGGGAAAACGGCGAAAACGACGAAAACGGCGAAAACGGAAAAACGGCGAAAACCGTGTTCTTGCATTTCTCGGTTTCACGCTCAAAGACAAGACAAGCAAGAAGACGTAAGAAAACTGGAAAAAACTTCCACACGGCAAAACGCGAGAACGGTTTTCTCGGTTTTGCCGTCGCATCGCGCGGGCCACGACGCAGGTTTTGTGTTCTTAGCCTTGCAAAACACATAACCATTCGGTCCGCAAATGATGATAAATGTGTTGCAAGATTGGTTGGCTATTTGCACTTGTCCCATCAGTATGCACCAATCATGTCCATTCAGGAAACACAAGAGTTGCTAAGCATCTCTCTCTTCTGCGACGCAGACTTTGCAGGAGATGTCAAGACCATGCGCTCGACCTCAGGATTTGTCCTCGCACTGACTGGCCCGTCAAGCTTCGCCATGCTGAGCTGGGGAAGCAAGAGGCAGAGTGTCGTGTCAAGATCAACAACCGAAAGTGAATTTGCTTCGCTTTCGACTGCGCTGTTCTCTGAAGCGCTTCCGACTCTGCATGTGTGGCAGGTCCTCATTCCAACCATAACCTTGAAGATATTCGAAGACACCTCCGGGGTAATCTCGATCGTCTCCTCCAAGGGCTACTCAAGTAAATTGCGGCATCTGAGCAAAACACATCGTGCGCATGTAGCTTCGGAACAATGCCCAGGACATTTCAGTCCAGCATGTTGAAACGACTCCCCAGAAGGGTGACGTGTTTACCAAAGGGTTAGCGTTGTCCAAATGGGGAGCTGCCTTGGCTTTGTTGCAGTTCTCTCTGAGTCCGCTCCCGTCTTATGATGCAGGCAGGAGTTCAACTGGCTAGAGCTAAGCAATAGTCAGCCGCAGTTCAAAGCTAAGCTAGATCTGCAATGAATGAAAGTCTAGACAATGCATGCTGCACAGTGCTTTTGTTGAGCATAGCGCCAAACTTGCATGCAGGGAGCCTGGCTGCTTAAGCGCCTCTCCCAAGCCGTTCGCAAGTCTGTAACGATCGCTTGCTCGGAATTGTCAGGTCACAGACGGTTCAATCAAGGAAGCGACTGTCTCAAGACCTGAAATACTGGATCATTGCACCATGAGGGGGGGCTTGAGTTTTGCCATGTATAGCAACCCTCCTATATAGACTTGGTTGATGACGTATGATGCTCATTTGGCTCAAGTAAAAAGGAGCCCCCGCAGCCGCTGCCCTGTCGCGGTCACGGCGCGTTCAACTTGTGTTGACTTGTTGCTTTTGGTTGGGTTGGTTTCCACTTCAAGTGTTATAGTTAAAACCAAGAAGAGCTATAACTTCCCAGCACGAAAGTCCGAACCATAAAAGTTTTAGTTCCAAAAGGCAACAACTCCCCAACACAAAAGTCCGAGCCGCTCCGAGCCATGAAGTACAAGTATAGGTCAAAATAGCCTACACTCACCAGAAAATACAATCGAACCTTGTCAAAAAGGAACTATGCCAAAAAAACATGATTCCAAAAGCAAGGTATAGTTCCACACAACTTATCTCCCCAAACACGAAAGCCCGAGCCATGAAAAAGAGTCGTGGTTCCGCCACCAAAAAAGGTTATAGTCTAGTTTCAAATCAATAGCTTTAACTCCCCAGCACCAAACCCGAGCCATCAAACAAGTTGTAGTTCCAAAAAGGAATTATACCTCCCTAGCACGAAAGCCTGAGCCATCAAACAAGTTATGCATAGTTCCAGAACCAGGGTTTATACAGTTCCAGAAAAAGGAATTGCAACTACTCAGCACAAAATCCCGAGCCATGCAAAAGTTACAGTTCCAAACTACAAGACTTAATTAACGCCCCAGCAATAAAGAGTTAATCATCAAAAAAATATACCAACTATATGACTACCAAGCACGAAAGCCCGAGCCAAGACAAGAGGTATAGTTCAAAAAATGAGTTATAACTCCCCAACACGGCCCGACGCGAAAGCCCGAGCCATGAATATATAAAGGTATGATTCCGAAAGAACTATATTTCCAAGAACAAAGACCTATGACTTATGATTAGGTTTTCAATAAAATTGTCACTACAGAATCCAAAGAAACGTCCTTCGAATGGATACTTTTTTGTTTTATTTCTGTCATCCATGCCATAAATCAAACAAACAACATTCATTCGATTGATTGTTTGTTTGATTTCTGTTATGAATGTTTTCTCAAAAAACGAATCATATAGTTGCAGTTCTTTTCTTTTGGAACTTAGTTTTTTTCATGGCTGATGCTTTCGTGTTGGGGAGTTGTAGTTCCTTTTTGGGGGAACTATAACAGTTAACTTGTTTGATGTCTTGGGTTTTTGTGCTGGTGAGTTGTTGGTTTTTTTGGAACGCTTGTTTTTTTCATGGGTCGGGCTTGCGTGCTGGGGAGCTATAGTTGTTTTTCTAAAACTAGCTGTTTGGATGGCTCGGAGTTTCGTGCTGGTGAGTTGTGTTTTTTTGGAACGATGTAGACTGAACTTAGAGCAGAAGAGAAAGGACCATGTTGATTTTGGTCAGTGTGTGTTTGGATATCTAGAACCCAAATGCGTGGATTCACCTCTTTGTGTAGTTTGTGGTGTTTGGGTGTTCATCGCAGGCTTCATTTTTTCAACTTAACTTTCCATATAAGCCCTCACTTGTGAAGTTCTACAGTACATTATTTTTGACTGTTCGCCCTTTTTTTGTGTTCGGAGCTTGAAAACTTTCGACCCTGGAAGTAGAGGCCGTCCTACCATTTGACTTTTCGGGGTTTTCACATGTTTTGACTGTTCGAAATGCGCCTGAAAAGCAAACTCAATTTGCGACGTTGCGGCCCTGCCGCGGGGAACTGGATCTAGAACAGGAACTGGAACTGCCCCAGCCACCCGGAGCACACTGGCTCAAGGAAGAATGTGAGCTGTTTGGTGCAATGCCGACACGGACCGCCTCAATGCTTCAAGCACAGCCAGCTACAGCCATTTTGGACAGTTTTGTAACCCCGCAGGCCCCGCAGACATAGGGCGGTATGTGAGAGTTAAAACATTGACATGTGTTTGTTGTCTACATGCAGACCCTTGCGGGGTGATAATGACGCTTTACGGCATGCTATTGAGTTCATTCCAGTTGTGAAACTGAGGGTTCAAGGCAGAGCCCGCAAGGTTGCTTGCAAGATCAGCTGGCATGTGACAAGCATGGGGCAATGAGCTTTGGTAGTCACAGTGCCCATGGACACGCTGGCCGAAGTCCATACCCAGCTGCATCACCATCACCAATAGTGTGCCCCCCATGTGCGGCACAAGTATATAGCGACACAGCCAAGAAGTGGTTGCCAGCCACTATTTCTGTCATTGACATCGGTGGCGCTGCAGTGACTGTAAGATACAGCCGCGATGGAGATCTTGTGGAAAAAGTCTTGCCGTTGGGCCATTCACATTTGCAGCTGGCGTGCCGGCCTGTATGCCCAGAAGGTGTGAAGTGCAGATTGAGGCACAAGAAGCACCTTGGCTGTTTCGCGCATCCATTTGATTTGGACTATCAGCGATCTTGTTCACACTTTGGGGTGCACTTTGAGATGCCATCTTTGCGGGATTTGTTCACATGGGTTGATGCCGACAGCTCGGGGAAGATCTCAAAGAAAGAGCTTCAAGATGCGCTGCCGCTTCTGGAAAAGTTGCAAAATAAGCTCCTCACGCTCACAGAAGACTTTTGGCACAAGCTTGACAAGGCCGCATAAAATGAGCGTGGTATGTTATGTTATTTGCATTTTGTGAGCAAGCCAGCTTTGCAAAGATGTTGCATTTGGTGCCCGATGGCCCAACTATCCACATGGCGATGAGCATCCCGCTTTTTGTATCGTTTTGTCGTTGCATGAGTGTTCTCTTTGCAATTGGTGTATATAGTATAGAGTCTATAGTCATCTATAGTCTAAATCGAGCCCGTGAGCAGGACGGTAATGGTGCCGTGAACTTTTTCGAGTTTGCGCAGTGGGCTGAAGATGCAGATCATTTCGGCGCCTTGGCTTTTTGTTGAGGCCCCGGTGTGGCAGTGTAGCACACGTCAACTGCCATGTGATCTAAGAGAAAGTGGAGACATGTTGCTGCATGGCATTGCAAATTGTTTCATATTTCCATTGTTCGGCTAGAATGAGTGCATCTTGAATGGAAGTCTAGGCCTTCCAACGGGCATCGACCGAGTTCTTGCACCAAGTGCTTGTGCAGTACCAGCCTGTCGTTGTACTGGCTTTCGCCCAATGGAAAGTCTTACAAGAGCAGAGGAGTGGTGCGCGATGCTTGGCTGAGTAGGTTTATACCCTCAATGTGCATGAATGAAATTCCATTGCTTTCAGTTATAATCTCCTGATCGTTTTTTCAATATGGGACGCAGCAAGACAGTCATCATAGCTTCCCTCAGGATCGAGAGAATCGAGGGAGGCAAAAAGGACGGACTTTTCCAAGTTGCAACGGCAAGTCTGACAAGTCCGGTCATGACTGTTTGGACTGGCAGGACATGAAGCATGGGAAGGACAAGACGGATTTGCATGGAAGGGCCTTGACTGACCGCATCTCGTTTGCAAAACGCGGGAAAGATCGTGAACACATTGAACACATGTCGTATCATGCTGTTCAATGTGCTAGTTCTGCGCCAACACGAAATGCGTTCGCTTTTCGACACCTTTCGAGGTATGGCAGATCGTTTGCAGACGTGCCACTGCGGTCACAAGCAAATGGTGCACCGCGTGCAGACTTTCCACACCAGTGCATGTCCACGTCACTGGACTTCAGGCGGCACAAATTTCGATACAGATGACGTCACAATTTAGCATTTACCAGTTAGATTTTGTACAAGGTGAGGCCGAAATCATCCAAAAGAGTACAGCCCAAACCTGTTTGAACATTTGGAAATGATGTGATGTTTGGCTCGTGTGATTTGTGATTCGGATGATGTGATTATGTTGGTTATCTCAGGTGTGCTCATGTGTGCTGCATATGAATAGAGAAAACACACATATATATATATATAATGCCTGTAACGTGATATGTTGTGATTTTGATCTAGAGTGCAATGCTGTCATATCATTTGTGGTGTTCAAGTGCATTGTGTTTGGACTTCCCACAAGTTTACCCTGTTATGTGTATGCATATGTATACATATGTATATGTATATACATATACATTTGCTACGCGCTCGCTCATTGCTAAAGATAGCCACTGTTTGCAACTTGGAAGTTTCTTACCAAAGTTCCTTTGATGATCAGTTTCTAGCTTCCTTGTACTTGCTCATTCTTTTCCGTGGGATAGCTGTGAGCCAGATAGACTCTGCGGAGAGCCAGGGCAAGGTGCCCAAGTCAGTGCACAGAAAGTGCTTTGTACAAAAGCGTCGAGATTTAGTGTAAACCTGAGATATTAATGGTTGTCTTATGGTTTCTTCCTTGTGGGAAGTTGCGGAGCTTGGAATGGCAGGCACTGGAGACAAGGCGGAGCCTAAAGTCCTGCCACTAGAAATTGAGCATTTGGGATGGCTGCAGCAACTGGTGAGCAGCACATACAGCAGCATTTGGACCCGTGACAGGCGGAAGCATCATCCGGAGACTTGTCGAAAGAGAGAGAGAGAGAGATAGAGAGGGAGAGAGAGTGGCTCAAGATTTCGGCTCAAGTAACAGGTGGCTCAAGCTGGGTGCCCTGACCTTGAGCTTGACCAGGGCACTGGTGCTATCACTCTGAGGAGCCCTTCTTTGATACCTATCTCGGGGGTGACCTCACCTTTGCCCTCCGGCCTTCGTGAAGAAGTGATGGGGCCCGGGGGGGAGGACGGGACGGACTCCCCCTTAGGGGACATTGATGCTCCCCGTCCGGCCTTCCTTTGGTGCGGGTGGCGCACCCTGTCAGTGGACTGGCTGTTGGACAAGTCCCATGACCTTTCTAATCCGCTTCGTCAACAGTCGCTCCATGACCAGCTCTCCTCGAGTTGCTCACCTTCAGCCAGGGCGACTTTGGAGGCCTTGCTGCAAAGCCTACGTCATTGGCGCTCAACTTTCCGTTTCAGACTCCTCAGCGACGCCTGGAAGAGCCTGTGGACTTGAGGCCCCGAGCAGAAGTGACGAGTAAGGACCTGGCTAGATGGGCTCCTGGAATGATGAGAGAGATGGCAACTCAAGTGGTCAAGCACATCCAGAAAAGGAGAGTGACGTTGCAAGTTCTGTCGTGGAGGGAACACCTGGCGCAAGGACACATTCCATTTCGACGAGCTTGTGGAGTATGTCAACGGGCAGCTGCTCGTCAGAGGCCTCACCCTGCACAGGGGATCCCTGAACCATGCGTTCTTGCATTGGACTTGTCTGGACCCTTTGCCGGAGGAAAGGACATTGATGGGGATGAAAAGAAGTACCTCTTGGTGGGATCCTACGCATGGCCAGTCTACGAAGGACATGAGTGGGAGAAAGACGAGATCTTCGAAGCGAAGCCGGAATGGCCTGTCTTGGAGGAGGAGGAAGCTGAAGAATTCCCCCGCTGGAACCAATTCGGGAGCCTTGGCAAGACGAATATCCTGACATGGAAGACTACTTTCCCCAGTCGGAGGTGGAAGGACCTGGAGTTCATGAAGATGAAGAAAAGATGGAGGTTCATCCGGGAGGAGGACTTGAGTCGGACGAGAAAAAAGAACCAGCTCAAGGCTCACTCGAAGAGGATGAAAGGCCGGAGGAGGTCGAGCAAGAAAAACCGACCGAAGAGGAACTGAAGGAAAAGAACAAGCCGACTAAGGTCGTTACGATGATGCTCTGTGTTCCGCTGGGTTCAAAGAGCGCCCAGGAAGTCCTGGCAGGGACTCAGGAACTCTTCACCCGACTTCGACGTCATGGATACCCAGTTGGACGAGTTCATACTGATCAAGGGCGGGAGTTCTGCAATGGTTCATTCAGGCGATGGTGCTTGGAAAGGGGACTATCGAGAACTATACCAGTTGCCCTGATGAGCATGCCCAGAATGGAAGAGCGGAGGCAGCTATCAACTCCATCAAGCAGAGAGTCCGACGACTACTACATGGAGCTGGGATGGAAGTGTGTTGTGGTGGAGCTGGAGAGACGTCGAAGGGAGAAGATCACTGAGAAGTTACCTCACTTCGGACAGACCGTGGTGGTGAAGAAGAGATCCTGGGAGCTTCAGCGTCAAGGAGCTTTTGAGTCCACTGGAGAGCAGGTGAAGTATCTCACACCAGTTCCGGAGGTGTCAAAGGGACATGCCGTCCTTACGGACAGGGGGTTTGTGAAGGTTGCGAGTTACACGATCAAGGACATCAAGGAGCCAGTGAAAGATCAGGATGAGCTAGCACTCGTTGAGGTGACGGCGGAGGTTGAAGAGGGCAAGACCAACCTTGACTACATGATGAATGGTTGGGAGTTTCCGAGAAGGAGGCATCGACGCAGCTACCTGGTATGGATGTGAACATTCCTGGATATGGTGTGACCGTATCAGCAGCACCCGGTGGCAATGTGACAAATGCAGTACCCCATGGCCTCATGGAGAATCTGAGCGGACGTCGCCCAGATCGTCCACAAAGAAGATGAGAAGGCTCAGAGGGAAAGAGAGATCACAGGTGGAACCACCGCCGGGTTTGGCTAGCAAGCCAAAGAAGCATGGCAATGGAGTGGAGGAGACCCTGAAGAAGGCGTGGGGCTCCATGCCAACATGCCAACTGAGGTTCAAACAGCCTTGAAGGGTGTTGGGCTGGACTTCACTCCAGAGCCGGAGATGCAATCACCCGAGACGGTGTTGAAGGCCCATTTGCAGTCACTTCCATCTGAAGTCAAAGAAGCGGTGGAGAATCTGCTGACTCCGGTCAAGGATGAGCCAAAGGATGTCACCACCAAACTGAAGGCCACGGTGGGAGAGCTTCGGCAGCTTTCAAACAAGAAGGCAGGGTTGCAGAAAAGGGTTGACACGGCCAAAGAACAGTACAAACTCCTCCTGGATGAGCTGAAGACCGTGCAGGAAATGATCGACAAAGAGCAACAGCAATTGACTGCCCAGTCTGAAGCATATGCCAAGCTCTTGAAGGAAGAGACCACGGAAGCTGTAGTCAGAGAAGTAGCAGTTGATGATGATGTGAATGACCATGTGCTGAAGGCACTTGCGCAGGTAGGGATTCTGTACACTGACTCCCAAATCGAGCGGCAATTGGCTGAGAGCATGCTGAAGCGCCGCAAGAGGAGTGAGGGCCAGTTGTCAGGGTAACCCTGGCAGCAGGCCTCTGATGATCTCAATGGAGTCGGGCAAAAGGATCAAGGCTGCAGAGCATTTTGATATGGGGTCAATGCATGCTGACAGCTTTGGTGATGCAATGCAGAGTCAGAGGGGATTGCAATCAAACTTGAGGGAGTTTTTGAATGTATGGTATTCATGGGACGGCATGTCCACTTGCTGGGGTGCAAGTAATCATGCTGGAGATGATTTTGATAGCAGGTGTCATGCATTTGATCATGGCTTGAACGCCAATGCACGATCTCAAGGATGGCAGCCGTATTTTGCGTGTGGTGCATACTATGACAATCCAATTACAAGTGAACAGGACATGCCTCACTATGACATTACCACTGGGGTACCCTGTCTTTTCCTTTGCTTTTGAGCCGGGGCGCAACATGTCGTTGGACAGTGGCCATGGCAAGGGAGATGACGGAATAGCACTTCAGGACAATGCTGATGGTGGGGGCCGTGGCCCTATTCTGGATGTCATCTACAGGTGCAGACTGAAGCCTGTTAATTAAAGAGGACATGGGATAGTCCAACTGCAGCTATTCAATCCAATGAATGGAATGGATGCCAAAGAAATGATGCTGAGGGATCTCCTGGGGCACTGCCTTTGCGGAGCTCAGAGCAGCTGGGGCCACCCAGACTTGCTGACTGCGGGACCACTGCCCCAACCAGATCTGTGCACTTCTTGGAGTGGGCAAACGAGGTAGAGAAGATGCGGTTTGGGAAGATCATCCAGACTATGAAGAGTACACCAGCCCAGGGAGGCTGCAAAATAGGCTGTTAGTGCTCCAAGAGAAGGCCAAGGAGGCCATCGAAGCTCTCCTGGTTGAGTGCCGGGATGATTTGAATTCTGGATTGGTTGAAACTCGAGTTTGGGGACTTGAGGCTTTGAAGCATGTCTTCCACCGTCAGTTGAGTTTTTGGCGGCAAATCTCACTCTCAATATCCACAACAATGGAAATAGATGTTTTGCCAATGCTGTTCTCCGCATGCGGTGCTGGATGGGAGCTCACCACCCAAATCCGGCTGAGTTCTGGGGGCCTTCTACAAAACTGTGCACGCAGATCCTTTAACAGGATGATATTCCGGACATCTTTTGGGCCTCTGAGCTGCAGCCAGCAATAGCCAGGCTTGAGAACCCACAGAGTCAGCATGATGCGTCGGAGTTTCTGGTTCTCTTGTGGGAGATGTGGGGGCAAACTGGCTTGCAAGGGAATTGGCATGCACATTTTGCAGGCAGGTGGCATGAGTATGACACCACTGCTTTTGACCTGGAGCCAGACCACCAGAGATATTTTATTCGGCCAGTTAGCAGAGAAGAGGCAGAAACCAACACAGCATGCACTGCCTACGACCTGCGTGCAAGCGACGCGGCTTCATACATCCCTGGCTGCCATGTTGTTATTGTCACTACTGGGCTTGTCTGGGACCAAAAAGGACAGACCCACTCCACACTCAACACTCATATGGAGAATGTGGACCTGCTCATTAGCGAAGAGGCACAGCAGGATATGGACCTCAAATCTGCCTTCGCCCCGACAGTCCCCCGACAACCCTTCTTTCGACTGCTGCTTGGTGATCCCAAACAGAGCCCTGGTGGAGTAGCCGATGGACAGAGAGCTCATCGCACGCTCTTAGATGGGTGAAGAAGTTCAATTTGAACAATTGTTGGCTGAGTGGGCGAACGAAGGCAATGGGCAGTGTTTGGGAAGTGACGTGGAGCACATTGTCTTTCACATCGGCAGGTACTCATTGTGCTCCCAAACCAAGTCTTGGGTGAAACAGCATCATATGCTGCACACACCTTCCACTTTCAAGTGCCCGCAGCGTACACAATCTGGGCAATCGGGCCACTCCACGTTTGTCCTCAGAGGCATCATGGCCCATCAGGGCCAAGAGCTCATCACTGGGCATTATGTCACCATGCTCGTGGAGGGTGAGGCCGTATGGATAGCTGATGATGGACAGTGTCCGGAAGTTCGGTCCCGGAACACATCAAGCGTGAGGCGGTCATGATTTGGGCGTCGCGAGCTGAGCAATCCAATTTCTGGTCAAGCACCATTGGGCATTTTGAGTCGCCACAGAAGAGGGCAAGACACCCACACCAAGAGATTGAAATCCTGCATGCCAACATCACCCAATGCAAGGAGGCCAAGGAGTGGATGATTCAACAGGAGCACTCCGTTGTGATGATGGTGGAAACCCACTTGAACAATAAGAAGATGGATGGAGCACACAACGAATTGTGTAGGCATCGCTGGCAACCCATGTTCCTGGAGGCTCATGAAACCGGCCGTGGGGGCAACAGTGGGGGACACCTCTTCTGCGTGAGAGAAGGGCAGTCAGGATACCGCCTCCACGCTTTTGATCTGGAAGGAAATGGATTTCTGGCCAATGTTCTACAACGCCAGCACTGGGGAGTCGTTCTGGTATCGTTGTATCTCAAGTGTGGGGAAGATCTCAACTCCAGGGCAAACTCTACCATCCTTGGGGAGCTGGCAGCCTTCCTCCAGGAATTGGCCATCGCATGGATTGTTGTTGGAGATTTCCAAGTGCCGCCAGAACAAATATGCTGTGGTCAACCTACCCTGGTCAATGGGGCTGAGCTTGATTATCTACTGGCATGTCGTACAGTGGCCCCGTTCATTGACATCAAAGTGACCTTGAGATGTCCCGTGGAGACCTCATGCTGGACTTGTCATCAAGGTGGACAAGGACGCTCCAAGGCTGGCCCTTCCACCGTTGACTCAGTACCCCTCAGTCCCCAAGCTGGCTGACCAGGTCAGGGCGTGGGAAGATTTCCAACCTGCACCAAAGCCCTTCTGGCTGGGCAGACCAATTGGACCAAAGGAGATACAATATGCTGAATGGTGCCACCAGGCTGAACAGTTTGCGCTGCAACGTCTCCATGATCCCAAACAAGGACGTGGGTGGTTTTTGGCTTTGGAGAACAAGCCCCTTCCTATGTCCAAGCCGCTGACACCGTGGAAGAAAGGGGACCTGGCATACTGGGGACATGGACATGGATGCAGCGCCAGAGGAGCGCCTTGGCAGAGAGGGGAAAGGGCGAGGTCAATCGACCCTGGGCGGAAGGCTGTTTGTCACGCCCCCTAGCCGAAGATCCGAAGGTCGCGGGACTGGCAGCGGCGGTGGAGTGGAGGTGGAAAGAAAACAGAGGGCACCATGCCTCAGGATCCGGGCAGTGATCGACCCCCGAAGCATGTCCCTCAAACCATGGGACCTATGCCTCCTGACCTGGGTTCAAAAGGTCAGGAACAGCAGGATGGACTTCAACGAGCGTTGGAAGCGGAAATGGTGATCTTCCTACGCGAGCAAAACGAGAAACTCCAAGAGGAACTGGACCTGCTGAAGAAGAAACAGGACAGCCTGGATGGTGCGAGCTCAAGGTGGAAAAGCCCACGACGAAGGGTGAAGGAGAAGCTCATCTACAAGAGCTACATCGTCGCCGAGAAGAAGGTGATCGTATTGGGGGGAGATCTGGCAGGGTCGGCGGTGTGATGCCGCAGACACCGCGAGGAAGGAGTCCGACGTCTCGGAAAGGGGCAAATGGACTTGGCCACGGGCGAGTTCGGTTCACGCCAATGGAACTCAGGCGCCGCCAGGTACGCCTCCTCTTCAACCTCTTCAGGAGCCTCCGCTGCCACCATTCCCTATGCCCTCATGCAACTCGGCTGAACTTAGCTTCCTGGAGGACTATGACACCATGGAAGCACGTCGACGCTGCCGTGGTGATCCTCAGTGGCTGCCGCTGGGCATGAGAGAAGGAAAGGTCACGTGGCCGCAAGACCATCGAGCAGATCGCTTGGAGCTGGAAGTTGAGGCCTTGAAGGCTTCGGTGGGGCGTATGAATGCTGGTCAAGCACCACGATCTTCATGCTCAAAGGATGTGTCGCCCCCTCCAGCTCCGATGATGGAAGAGCCACTACACGCGGGAGAACGTGTTGGGCTTCAGGGTCATGATTTTCGTGATTTTTCTTGCAGTCGAGAGCGGAGGGTTGGCACTGAGCTTCAACATGCAGGTGATTGTCATCGTGACGGAGTATGTCCTGATGGCATGGGTGGCTATGGCATGCACTTTGACAAGAGCGCGCCTGGTGTGGATGGAGGTGAAGCTGGCTATGGTCGCTGGCGGGATGGTGGCGGCGCTGGGAGATGGAGGTGGTGGGAACAGCAAGGCCGAACTGGCCACATTGGCCGCAGATGCTTCGCCGCTGCAATTGGGCGATTGGTTGGTGGTTTGTGGACCCGCGCTTCGAGACTGACCTTGCGAGAGGCTCAATGTTTCTACGAGAGATGGAAAACATCCTCACCTTGGGAGCGGGTCCAGATCACGCCAAGGCTGCCGGATGAGCTGGTGGACACGTGCTATCCGCGCACGGAGCAACGAGGGGTGAATTTGTTGCTCAAGGCGATCCCGCTGGACCAGCAGCAGGCCCTGATCACCGACCGCGAGCTGACATCGACAGCCTTGCTCTACCGGCTATTGGTTCGCTACCAACCTGGAGGAGCGGGGCTGACCTCTCTGGACAAGTCAGCTGGGGTTCCCGAGCCAGATCTTGCCTGATGGTATGCTGCTGCTCAAGGCCTTGGAACCAGCAGTCATCCAAATCTCGGGCCTCGATGCTCAGGCAGCGTTCCGCCTAGCTCAAAGTCGACTGCAACTTGGTGTGGATCAACACCCAATTCATGGTCAAGTGTGGCGGTTTAGCCAGTGCTTGTTGGCGGAGGTGGAAACGCTGGTTTTGATGTCAGCGGTGCCTACGACACCCTCAACTCCGGCGCGTGTCAAGCAAATGGACGCGCAAGGGAAGCCCTCACCAGGAACAAGTTCTGTGGGGGAGAAGGACAAGGAGAAGGGCAAGGGCAACGCTTCGGTGGCAGCTCCATGCCGGTACTTCAAGTCTGACACCGGCTGCAAAGCCGGCACGAATTGCAAATGGTCCCACACTTGGGACGGAATTGAAGACAAGTCGCAGTGGTGCTGGATCTGTGGTGGCAAAGATCATCGAAAAACAGCATGCAAGCTGCGCCCTCCGAAAACAAGGTATGTATGTTACCCCCCTGGGGTTCTTACTCAGCATGGATAAGTTGAGAGCGGAATATTACCGCCAGAAGTGCCAGAACACGCCAATGCCTTGAGCCTTGGCACTTCTTTTTCCAGCCAGGACAGGCTTCCCCGACAATGTTCATCAGAGATGAAGGGGGAGTCTGTCGAGCATCCAAGAGCACTTGGTGAGACCACCGTACGTGAGGCATTTTGTTCAAGAAAAGGTGCGTCCTTTGGTAACAAGCCTGTAATTGTTCCGTGGCATGCCAGCTGTTTGTTTCTCATTTAATTTGCTTGTTGGCATTGCTTTGACAAATGGCTCACCTTCAGCATCTATCATCTACCCATGCAAGACCCGTTCTGAGAGCGACTGACCAGGAAAAGGGTTTCGTTTGTTCTTTGTTTTGATATGTTTGATATGTTTTGATTTGGTTGGTATAAGATGTATTCTTTGGCTGCTCTGGAAGTTGCTTGTCCTTCGTAGTTGCACGTGCCAGAATCTGCAAGGAGAATCCAAACGTTCCACAAGGCTTTCACATTGTCCGTGGATTTCGTGTTGAAAACAGCCGGAGCTGGCAAGAATACTGCCACAGGCGAGCTGAGCTCCTGAATGACACAAGAGAACGCCCTGTGCACTGCTATGATGTCCTAACGCGAAATGGATGGACGCAATATGCGCACCATTTTGGATTGGAAGAACTTAAGCATAGGTGCAATGAATGGATGCTATTTCACGGAACTTCACCAGAAGCTGCGCGGAATATCTCGAAGAGTGACTTCCGCATGAGCCTTGCAGGCGGGAGCACTGGCACCCTCTACGGTCGAGGTACATACCTTGCGGAATCCTTCACAAAAGCGGACGAGTACTCCAAAGCAGCACGCGACCCAAAGACTGGTCGAATGGAGTATGCCATGTTGCTCGTCCGAGCCTTGGGTGGTTACGTGCGCTATTGTGATGAAGCAGAGCCAAATGCGCAGGATTTGACCCGTAGCTGTATAGAAGGCCCCTATGATTGTGTTCTGGGAGATCGTCAGAAATGTCGAAATACTTACCGTGAGTTCGTTTTCTTCGATACTGAAAACCTTTACCCAGAATACATCCTGATCTACGAGCATGTCCGCGCTTGAAGATAAAAGGAGATGGACAAAAGTGCAAGGCAGCGTGGCAGATGACCTTCACTTGGGACTCATTCGATGCTTGTAGATTGTACTTTTCTGCAGAGCAATTGTGGAGCGATGCCAGGTGTGGACACTTTTTCCATCGGATGTGCTTGCGTCGTCACCTCCGGTCGTCCATTGGGACACTTGGCGATGCAAATAAAACGGCAAACTCCTGTTTACTCTTTTCATCCCCTTTCGCACACACTTAGACAATGGGTTTGCAGTTACATCAATTCGCCGAGGAAATGAGTGAGGGAACGGAAAGGCGAGTGATCCCGAAAAATTGAAGATGTTTAACAAAGGCGTTGCAGTCGCTCAGAAATCGCTGAAAGCGGCGGTGGCGCCGCTGCACGGCGGTGAAAAACCTGGTTTCGGGATCTATCACGCAAGGACCATGAAAACAAAAGTTCTAAACTGTCGCAGGTACACACGGGTGATCGATCCGTGCTTCCCACTCCAAGGCATAGCTTCGTTGCACTGAGTTTGCCAAGGAGTGCTCAGTGCCCCTGCTGGTCTGTGAGCAGAGTAAAACTCTTAGAAACAGAGGGTGGCACACTTTGACATTGGGTTTTCAGTTAACTCAATTCCCAGGTCGAAAATGGTGATGGAACCGCAAGGTGAAAGGGTCAGCGCACTTGTATTGTTTGAACAATCTGTTGACACGTCTGCGGTGGCGAGCGTCAGCGCGACTCAGCTGCAGGAAAACGCGACAAAGGAAAGGTTTAAGGGAGGTATCATGTAAACCACCATGAATCAAAACGTGGAAAAGTAGGGTGACAGCTTGTGAACAAGCAGGTACGTCGATTTGGCGTCCCAATTCGATATCACCAGCACACATCCAGTGTCTTCGTTGGTGCAAGACTGGATGGGCTGCTTGCACCCCCTGCGATGGTAATCAGCAAGTTTAAACTCTTAGAAACAGAGTGTGACACACACAGAGCGCCGATATCGGCGCTCCGGAGGAAATTCCTAAAAAGCCTTAGAAAGAAAGAAAAAGAAAAGACAGAAAAGGGAACGCAAGGGCAAGAGAGAAAAGTAGGTGTAGTTACGAGGCCCACTAGTTACGAAACCTGCTAGTTACTGAATACTTAGCCGCATTAATTAAATGCACTAGTTAGCGAGCGAGACATTAGTCTTAAACCGCTCGGGTAGCTAGAACTAGGACAGGAGAAACAGAAGGAAAGGCACCGACACACAAGTGTGTCGAGTACCATTTCCTTCTGTTACCCTAGATAGCGGGTGGGATAACAATGCGAATTCGGTTGCAAGGTGGGGGGGGTGAGTGGATGTGTGTGTGTGTGTGCGAAACATATATATGACCGTAAGCCCGCGGCGGTGTGGAAGTTCAGTCGCAATTCCGTAGGCCCGGCGGCGTGGAATTTCGGGAATACAGTGGTGAGACTAAATCGGTTAAGATAATCCAACGTGCGCAGGAAGCAGGAAAAGCGGCTAGTGGTACTCCTGCGTGAAAACAGCGCCCCAGTGACGGGGATCACACCCTGCACCCAAGTGGGACGGCAGAGCGACACACACTTTGACATTGGGTTTCAGTTAACTCAATTCCCAGGTCGAAAATGGTGATGGAACCGCAAGGTGAAAGGGTCAGCGCACTTGTATTGTTTGAACAATCTGTTGACACGTCTGCGGTGGCGAGCGTCAGCGCGACTCAGCTGCAGGAAAACGCGACAAAGGAAAGGTTTAAGGGAGGTATCATGTAAACCACCATGAATCAAAACGTGGAAAAGTAGGGTGACAGCTTGTGAACAAGCAGGTACGTCGATTTGGCGTCCCAAATCGATATCACCAGCACGCATCCAGTGTCTTCGTTGGTGCAAGACTGGATGGGCTGCTTGCACCCCCTGCGATGGTAATCAGCAAAGTTTAAACTCTTAGGAACAGAGTGTGACACACACAGAGGACCGACATCGGCGCTCCGGAGGAAATTCTTAAAAAACCTTAGAAAGAAAGAAAAAGAAAAGACGGAAAGGGGAGTGTGACACACACACACACACCCGGCCGCTTTGCGGCGCTCGCGCGCAACACCTAAAAGTCCAGCCTTGCAGCTTGCCAAGGGCTGACAGCCCCGACAGCGAGCCTGAGATGCATTGATTGCTGCAGATGGATCCGCACTTTTCACTTCCCCTCACTTCCTCAGGGGGCTAATGCACAAACCTAGGCAAATCTCCACGCGATACATGATAATGTGATATAATGTGTTCAATTGGTTTCGGCCATTTTTGAAGATGTTTCGCAACTCCGGCCGGTGTCCTCAGGGCGCTTGCCCAAATTGTCGAACTGCCAATGCTGCTTTGGGCACCTCGAATTGCCGGGCCAAACCGCTCTCATGGCAGGTGGCCCAGGCGCGAAAATCAGAACCCATCAAGATGCAAACACAAGACATCAAAAGATACATGAACCCTACCAGAAGACATCGGGCCGAAAAACAACCTCTAGACTCTAATTTTCCCAAGTGCATCTTGCGCGCCTCACAGGACGTGGGTTCAAGACCGCTGGACCTAGAGACGCAGTACCGTTTCCTTGCGGTTTTGTGCCAAGATCCAGAGGCGGCCACAGCCCCCGAAAGTTTCCATCATTTTTTGCATTGTTTGCCAAGAGTTGTTGATGGAACACATTCCCCGGTTAAGATAAATTGTCCTGCTATTTCACAATCCTGGATCCCACAAGCATTGGTTTCCCTCTGTTGAATTCGGAGGCAGTGGTGCACAGCCACTTGATTGCCATTGTTAGTGATCTTGGTGGGTGGAAGGGTTGAGATGTTGCCTGAGCGAGTGAGATGGTCTCTGCAATCACACACAAGTGACACCGTATCCACCAGAATGAATGTTTGCTCATTTTGCATTTCCTTACATGTCCAGAATGGGAAAGTGCAGAAAGGTACTGTGCTTTCCGCAAACCAGAGAAAATGATTTGCTCTGAGTTATGGTGGATGCGAGTTACTTTTGTTTAACAAGTTATTGGTTGGCTGGGGGGTTGAGTCAGCGGCCAACCCAGTTAGTTATCCACTGCTAGACCCCTCCCCTCCACAGGCTCAACTCCCCCTTGGACATGTCAATTAGCAGTTCTGATAGCATCCGTTTTGGGACCATGTTTCACATCATGCCGCGCATCCACACCTCTTATCCCATCCGTTTTAAGGCCACGCTAGCTTTCCGCACCAGCCCCCAGCCTCAAGTTGTTCGCAACACCCTGGTTTATCGAGGGACTAAGATGTTGTCCACACGTCCCTAACAATTGGTGTAAACATGTGCCAACGCCCCAGCTTTCAACTTGGGGATTGGCATATGGCTCGCAGTCAGCCCTGTTTGTTGTTCTTGGAGAGATAAATGGAGAGAGCTAAAGGAATGCCCTAATTTCAACTTTAATCTAAAACCTAATGTAGCTTCATTGGCACTCCGAGGTTGGACACGTGGAATCTCATGTTGGTAGGATTGATCGAAGGAAATGAGGGAAAGGCAATGGACCCTTGTCCAACGATTATGTACACCGTGGTGTACATAGGGTCCTTGCCCCCAAAGAAAGCGTTCCAAGGGCTTGTGAGATCGTACCATGCATGGATGCTACGGCCCCCAATCATAGGGTCAAGCCACGAGTGTTTTTGGGCATTGAGGTGTGGCACCTGAGAACATAACTAATGATCGGTGTCACAGATTGCATGGGAACAAATGAAGTAGCTGGGTTTTTGCCCAGGCGCCACACAAACTTTGGTTCCACTCAATGTGTATATATATAGATATATGTAAAGTATAGTCTAGTCATGTCTAGTCTTAGTCTTTGCTACGTACAACATATTCAGGGACACAACGTCAATCTGATGTTTCACGAGTGTGGTCAACGGTGGCCTAAAGAATGAAATCGTCAGGCTCTGTCTTCCTGATCCAGGCCGTACTGAAGCTTCAAGACCTGCCAGACGCTTCGGTCATATGATGAGAGACATGAAGTTTTGTATTGCAAAGGAGAAGGACATGAATTGTCAGAACTTCAATGGAATCAAGACAGGCGCGTTGCGGAGGCAAGTCGGCCGCGCTCACTCAACTCATTCGTTTTGCTGTGCCTTGTACAAAGAGTCTTGAGATGGTGATAGCGATCACCGGCTGCACGGCAGCACGAAAAGTTTTGTTTGTTGGATCAGCACCACAGCCTTGACAACAAAACATGTTGAGCCTGAGCCTTTGGAAGATTCGAAGAATTTATTTAATGGGGGATTCGATGCGAAAGTGGTGCTGATGATCAACGCCCCAAAGCTGGGTGTGTCCTCACGACTCATGACTCTGAGGATGCTTTGGAAATAGAGAGAGACTGGCATTCTAGCTCTCAAAGCATCCAAAATCCAAAAGGCACGTGAACATGTCATGGCTTTGGGCTTGTTGATTTCTAGGCTACGATCCTGAAATGCGCCTGTACGGCGGCGAAGAGATGGAGATAGGCTGTGCAAAAGAACATTGTGCGTTTTTGCGTGTGTGTGTGTGTGCATGTGCATGGGGCATTGGCATGTTTGTCGCAGCGTTTTATGCCCTTGAATGCCAAGGCTTTCGTACATGGATGCCAAACACTTAGTTTTCACAAGTGTTTATATAGGCTATTAAGCGGCATTTGTTCAAGGCCTTCAACCTCGAAGTGTCACTTTTGGGGTCGCTTCCATCGGATACAGTTTGCAGGATTGTTTCGCGAAGCGATTCCAAGGTGCGGGGGTGACATTGAGTATTTGCCGTGCTCTCATGTGCCTAGGCTCAATCTCCCAATGTTTTAGGAGATATCTACTACTTTGACTGATTTTGCACCTAGGCCAGACGTATGCATAGCATCATGCGTTGCCCTCACCCCGCAAGGTTGGCCATATCTTTCGGACACCGAAGTATTGGCAAGGCGCTTTTTTGTCGATTTGCTGGAACTGCAAGACGTGGAGAAAACAGGGACGCCTTTGCGAAGGTTGATCCCCAGCCTTTGTGTTATAATGTCAACCCCGGATTAATAAACCCCCCCCCCACATGGTAGGTCAACAAGGTCAACAAGGTCTGAGATACCACTCATGAGGTCCACCCCCCCTGAATTATCGGCTCAGGGAGCTATCGTAGTCGCAGTCGTCGTCGGTAGTAGGTAGTAGTAGGTAGTAGGTAGTAGTAGGTAGTAGGTAGTAGTAGGTAGTAGGTAGTAGTAGGTAGTAGGTAGTAGGTAGAGGTAGTAGGTAGTAGTAGTCACAACAAGTTTAAACAAGCACAAAGAAAAGGCCAGGGACACAGGATCAGATTAATAGAGGGTAGTAGTGCAGATTATTGATGGGGGACCGGCCCTTGTGAGGGGTACCCTTTGTGAGCTTGTCAAATGATTGGTTTTTAATTGTGTTTTAATAAGGCAATTTATAGGCCCTGAGCCCTAGACATTTTAAAGGCTTTCATCAAACATGTAGTAGGTAGTAGGTGGTGATGGTGGTGGTGGTCGTGGTAGTAGCACGTAGCAGTAGTAGCAGCAGTAGTAGCAGCAGCAGCAGCGGCAATAGCTACAGCAATAGCTAGTAGCAGTAGCAGTAGCAGCAGCAGCAGCAGTAGTAGTAGTAGCAGTAGCAGTAGTAGTAGTAGTAGTAGCAGTAGGAGTAGTAGTAGTAGTAATACGAAAAATTGACCTGGTTGTGGGCTCGGATTAACTGGGGGGGATTGTTGGTAGAAAACTAGACCATAGGGGGGAAATCAACAGCGAATAATACTATTAATTTGGGCAATGTTCGGCGGCTTTGTGGGCTCGGGTTAACTAGGGTGGATTGATTAATCCTAACTTGACATTATATACATATATATATATATATAGCGGCAGCAGTTTGCAACAATAAGGTGACAACGATGATGAAGACTTACTGTAAAAACCGGGGTTCCGTGCTTCAGTGCCTGAGAATGGCGCAGGCCAGGTCTACAGAGTGCCTGGCGAGGAGATCTCACGAAACAAGCTACGGACTGCCGAGGCACATCGTCACATCGTCGATTTTTTTGTCAAAATCTGACGACGTTCGATACTCGGAAAGCCTGCTTCAAGGTTCAATACCAAGCCATGCGATGTCTCATTCACTCATTCACTCATCCACTGCAAAAGCAGCAAGATCTGGACAGAACACAGAGCTAGAGAGTCATAACACTCATTACACGGCTGCCTCAGGGACTTGTGGGCCAGTAGGGAATCGCACATTCTCAGTGTAGTTTTGAGACTTCTATTTGTAAAGCGTTGGATTGCGCGTTCTTCAGACTCCCCACGGAAGAGTCAAAATTGAAAAAATTATTGATGTTGGAGTCAGATGGTGTAACGTATGTGTGTATATTATATATACTGTATGTATATATATATATAATCCGTTGCCGAATACCCCTATAGAATGGGGGAGGTCGAGCTCCAAAATGACCTGGCATTTTATAGAGAGTTTTTCTAGAATCAAATGTCAACCTACCTGAGACAGATCCACTCTGAGGATCTCTGAGGTGAGAAAATCATATATTGATGTGTCAATAGGTTGATCACCCTCATTTTATAGAGAATACATGACAATTGAGGACATTTTATAGAGGACATGGTTTTGATTCTATAGAGAGAACCTGGAACAGTAGAAGGTTGAGAGGTTACTTTAGAGTGGATGGATGTTTTACAGTGAGGTAGGTTGGATTCTGATTCTGATTTCACGAAATATCCGGCGCATTCTTGTGCAATCTGGTGCATGCATTCCCACATTTCCTGTGGAATAACCGGTGAATATTGGCCCACTATAAAATGATTTTTTTGTTCAAAATTCAGCCCACCTTTCTAACATAAAAATAATCAACCTGTGAGTGTCCAACCCTGTCCTTACCTTATAAAATCTTAAAATGAATATCAACCTCTATAGACATATCGTGTTTTTGGAGTGTCATTTTCTGTCCATTTTTCATATAAAATGAATTTCAACCTTGCAATGTTCAATAATGTTTCTATAGAATAAAATGCCAACCTCTTTTGCCATTGCTGCGTAACTTTCCTCCAAAATAATATGTCAGCCTTGATGTTACACCCACTTGTTTATAGAATGAGGACCACCCCTGGCTGTTTCTATTGGATAGTTCAGATTTTGAGCCTACAATTCTGTTACATTAGTGCCTTAAAGGTTGACTCCCTTTATTCTATAGAGAAACTATGCTGTACACTACAAGGGTTGAAAGCTAGATTCTATAGTGGGGCATTGTGCTCCCAGAGCCTGGTTCAGTCATTTATCACTATAAAATGGGGTTCTCAACCCCCACCGGTTATTCCACAGAGGATTATATATATATGTATGTAGTGTAATGTAATGTAATGTAATGTAAGTATGTATGTTTGTATGATTCCAGTTTGAAACCCCCAGGTTTGGATGGATGAATTCCAGTCTCTAGTCAAGTTCGCCGCTGGCCCTTTGCGTGGCCCTCGAGGGTCCCTAACAAGCTATGCTGCAGACCATGTTGTCGCCGAGGCCGCCCTCTTTACCCATTGGCAATTTGGAACCCAGAAAGCAGCTGCGAAGGAAACTCCAGTGCAAGGAGAGGGCTGATGTCTTCTCGGAAAGAAACTAAGAAAATGGCCCTGAGTGGTGCTACTCGCTCAGCGCTTCCAAATCAACCTTCTAAGTATGCTAGGTTTACAACTGCTTGCTGGATGATGTCCACTTGCTTCTCAGAAAGGATGCAGATTGATTTCGGAGGACTTTCGCTGGTATCTCCAGACGGTGACCCCTCACTTATTCGTTCCCAAGATCACTCCTGACACCAAGGCGCGGTCACACACTGCAACAACAGATGCTGCCATTAAAAGTACATCAGGGACATGTCGCTGAGAAAGAGTGATTGGCCATAGTGGCCAAATAGAAGATTTGGAAGCAGCGACCTAAATAGTGGACTCAGGAAGTCCATCGGGTTTTCATTAGCCCCGCGATATACTGTAATATCTTGAGCCGAAACCGAGAATCGAAGATCAAGTTGAATCTAGTTCTCCATTGAATTCTTCTGCCGGGGAGCATGGTTAGAAAACACAAACTTAGAGCACATTTCCACATTCCTGTGCAACCTCTGCCCAAGCATGCCTCATACAAGAAACAAATGTTGGGCCTTGTTTTGGCTCGCCAGCTTCCGCCGAGAATGTAGAGAAGATGCCCTCATGTTTTCCCTTGTTTTTCAGGGAACTGTATGGTGGTTCACCTGCGCTTCATTCCTCACAGACCTCTTGGTTTACATTGAAGTTCCTAAATGCTAAGTCGGAGACAGTGCTTATAAGTACTGCGCATGGTTCTTTAATACCTAGTATGGCCGCACCGGTGTCACGTATACTGAGTAATGTTGCTCGCGGTTGTGTGTTTTTCGAGCTGCAGCATGTTGGTCTATGATCCCACGTTTTGGCGCATTCAGACGATAGGGGCGAAAAGCTGCCACGCTACCCTGTACTTGCTGACTGTGTGCTTCAAAGATCTTCTAAGGCCTTTGCAAAGCTTTGACCAGTCAAGTGCTACTAAAGTCTTTACTGTATATTGTGCAGTCACACTCCGTAGACATTTCGACATGGACTGGGACTGGGACATGACGCTTCAAAGCATGAGACCTTTCATAGACATTCGAGGCTGTACCAGTGGCGAAAGCTTGACCCAGAATATGCACTGCTGTAAATTTTTTGCCGCCCTCTCTGTCTTTGCAGCAGTGGACATTTTTTGTACATGTGATGACAACATAAACCGCTAGCGCTTGGGCCAAGTAAAAGTCCGCTTACCTGAGTTTGGTAGCGGAGCATCCTAACTGCTTCTATCTTCTTCTCCGGTGTTGGAACATCGGAAGTTAACTGAGAAGGAGTAGCAGTCTCTAGGTTCAGGATGTCTGCGGGTCTACGACCAAATGCCATCTCTAGTGGTGTTACACCACCATACGTAACGAAGGAGTTCCTAGCAAGACAAGCTTGACGGACCAATTGTCGATAAGTGACATCCGCTAGTGCGGGATCATCTGCCAAGGAATTCACCATCAATGTAACCTGTTTCTTGAAAGTACGAACTGCAGCTTCTGCTCGATTAGGCCAAGGTGTTCCTGGTCCTAGTGCAATAGGCCTAATGTTTCTACGAGCATAAAAGTCTTCAAAATCTGGCTGAGCCTGCATGAACGCTTGATCACCTACAATCGTCTTGGGATTGATCTGGAAGGTCTCACAATATTCAAGAAACAAATTGATGGTTTCCTGGAGTTCATAGTATTAACCACATATGCTGTAGACAAGGACGTAGCACCGTCGAAGAGTATGATAAAAACAAGTTTCTTCTTACCACCTTCAACATCAACCATACCATGATCAACAAAAGTGGGTTCACCGAATGTTTCACTGCGCATGCCGGAAACCTTGGCACGTGAAGGTGCTCTCTTGGAAGTCTGGCATGTATCACAACTCTTTACCACTGCGTCATACTGTTTATGAATGTCTTCTGGTAATTTGAGAGCGGAAGTTCTTCTTCTGAACTGATCAGTTGACATGTGGTAATGTTTCAAGTGAAGTCGCAGTAATACAGTAACTCGGTAGGAGAACTCAATTTGTCATGTATTCGTTTCAAGGCTATGGGCATGGTGACTGTTGACTTGGGTTTTATCTTCCCTGGTTCTTTCTTCTCTTCGACTTTTGGCTCGTCCGGTACAGGCTCGCGACTATCCGGCCTTGCCTCCTCATCGTCATTCTCGACAATCTCTACATCAGGTGCATGACGGGAACTGCTTGCAGTTCCGCTAGGGCGGAAGCCAACGTCTGGGGCTTCCGTCGGAATTGTGTCAAAACGAACTTTGTCGTCTGCTGATGTACGAGGCTTCATCTTGATAGTATGTCGAACTGGAGGATTATCTTCAGAGGATTTATCTGGCTTGGCCGGTAGTTCGGCAGTATCCTTTGTCTTCTTGCAAGTCTTGTCGTAAGTATGAGGTCTGTGTTTGCCATTGCAAGCTGGACAAGTGATGGCTGCAAAACTGTGAGCCGGTTGTCGATCTGCACGAGCAAGGTCGAAGACATTGAGAATGGTATGATCGGAAGTTGATACGGACAACGGAAAGTTCTTCAGACCAAACTTCTGGCAAGTAAGGAATTCTCCGGCTGCAGTATGCATAAGTTCAAACTCAAGATTTCTCATCCGTTGAATGCTAAACAAAATCGGAACCTTACCCTTATCCAGAATGTCTATGGTGGTCGAAACAGAACTTCCGTTAGAACGGGCAAAGTACATGACCAATCTCTGAGTGATCACGGACGTTTCCCCGTTTGCGAACGTAAACATACTCCGACATGGTACCGTCTTGAACCAAATGAGGTTTGGTTCCTGCTTCGAACATGCCTGCATCAAACGGTTCACGGCATGTCTCGATCCCATCGACCGCGTGCATCCTGTATCTAAAATCACGAAAGTCGGCTCTCGGCTAAGATCAGTCACTGAACTAAAGAAGGACTGTTCAGAGTGTTGAGCACAAAAGGACACAAGTGAAGTCTGTTCAGACTTTGTTTCTTTGTGTGTTCCTTCGGTGTCTGTGCCGAAAGCATGAACCGTTAGTTCGGTTGTTGTGTTCTCATGTGCATGCGAAATATCATCTAGCCGGACTGATACCAATCTTCTCCATAATAACCCCAATCCTCGGTACCTACACCACTCGCATCATCACCTTGCCAAGAGGTGCTTTCTGCTGTTGTTGACGTGGCAGAGGGATCTTCTGTCACGTTGGCCTTTCCTTTCTTGCTCTTTCCTTTGGCCTTTCCTGCAAATTGCTGTTGATCCTTGCCCTTGTTTCCTTTTCCAAAATATGGCTGATGCCATTGCGGGGTGTAAGACTTGTTGCCTTTCTTGCCTTTACCTTTACCAAGGAAGGAGGAGTCCGGATCTTCATATTCGAAATGAATCTCTGTCATGTGCGAACTGCCTTTCCCCCGACCACGGGGTCTGAAACCTGGCCTTCTTCGACCTTTTCCCTTTCCTTTACCTTTCCTGAATCTTCTGCAGAGAATTTTCCTTCTACGATAACCTTGTCCATCAGCTTTCAACACAAGAAAATGATCTTCGTCGTATAGCGCCATGAAACCTTGTTCACCTGTGGTTTCATCGGTCACCCAATAGCCTTCTTCGCCATCCATGGTGCCGTGTTCTTCAATGAAATAATGAAATATGTTCGACGCCTACGACCGCTAGGGCGGTGTTGAAGCTGTGGATCGCTAATGCTGGTTCTACTCACACAGAATAGTTGTAAAAACTGTGTCTCGACTGCCTGATACTCGTAGTTTTTCATTGGGGTGTTTTGTGCATTCATTGCTGATACTAGTCGTTCTCGCTGTTGCTCGTTCAAATCTGCCTGCACAATGAATATCATGGCAATCAAATTCCCAGGCAATGGGAATGCGGCTTGATGTGCTTGTCTAGCTGCTTCTGTTCTCTGATTCCAAATTTGCTGCACAGCATCGGGTCTGTCTTCTGCGTCCATCGCTGCTATTTCAGCACGTTGTGCTGCAGTCAATGTGTTGGTAAACTCGACTGTTTGTGGTGCCGGATAGTCTCGGTAAAGGTCCATCCATGCGTTTTGTAAACGTCTCATGGTGATGTCGAAAAGCCCAATCCAAGTGACCATTTCACGGGAACCACGCCATTGTCGAAACAACTGAAGGAATCTGCTCGGAAACACATGTTGATGTCCTTGATGAAAAATGGACGAAGTGTTCGTTTCAAATAATCGACTCCATTATCTGCATCTGCGAGCAAACGGTTCTCTAGCATGCCTTTATAGTGTGCGGCTGCACCTACAAGACTGTTCTTCAAGCTAGGACCGTTTTTGCGAGGAGTCAATGTTGTCAGGTTCAACCAGTCGTCTATGCAATCTTCATACTCGAACCAGGATGTTAAACCATCAAAAGTCGGTGCAATCTTCGGAGTCATCCTAAGTTGAGAAGTCTCGGGAACCTGTGCTGCGTACGCATCTGGCCTACGATGTCCTACCGCTAGAGCGGTCTCAGGACTTGTTGGTGTCTGGGCTTGATAATACGTAGCGCTGCCATCTGGATAATAATATGACTCGTGGCCTTCTTCTGAACTCTCGCTATCGCTCATTGTGTGCTAGCTGTAGCGGCTCTACTCGAACGAAGGTGCGCCGAAGCACGCCCGTTAGTTCGGGATTTCTGGAGCAACGAAGCTCCGCTACCACTTTGAGGGCAGAATCCCCCGCAGTGGGCCGTCTTATCTACAGTATCGACCTGGATCGAACTTACAGACTAACAAACTCACAAGAGCGTGCGAGCGAAGGCGGGCTGAGCGGTTTTTATCGCACAATGTACCTTGAGCCAAATGTAATGGCCGGTCATACGAATTGCGTAAGAGCATATCATATAACATAACCACATGAGCAACAGCGAATGGTGGCCCCAAAACAAGAAACAGGGGGCTGGTGGCTTGATTGGGCCATTTGGCTCAAGCCATCCCCCCACCTGATTTTGCCCACCCGCCCACACCTAATAGAGGTGGGCAAGGCAGGAGTTTGAAACTGACGCCCCATAGGCATACAA